TCACTATCCCGTATAAGATATAGATTTAGAAAACCTTGGGATCACTATCCCGAATAGTTCACAGATTTAGAAACCATGGGATCACTATCCCGTATATAGATTTAGAAAACCATGGGATCACTATCCCGTATAAGTTATCGATATGAAACCTTGGGATCACTATCCCGTATAAGATATAGTTAAAGATCATGGGGAAAGACATCCCGTACAGATAGTAGACATAAAACCATGGGATCACTATCCCGAACTAGATACTAAATAGTTTAGTTAATACCATGGGATCACTATCCCGAAAGAGATATAAGAATAAACCATGGGATCATTATCCCGTATAGGACATAGATATAGAATAGTTTGATAATCCCATGGGATCACTATCCCGAAAGAGACATAGAAACAATACCATGGGATCACAATCCCGAAAGAGACATAGAATATAGATACAAAACCATGGGATCACTATCCCGAACGAAATAAAGATCCTGAACCCAAACTGTGAATAAGCTGGTATTAATACATATTGTGAGTTGGGTAACCATACTAATACGACAACGTGACCTCCTTGACGTTTGTCAGACGTCGAACGATATCCAGAAATTTGTCACCCTAGGCGTGCCCGCCTAACTGTAGCTAGCAGTTAAGGTGTGGGATTGTCAGTCCCGAATAGATCTATTCACAAATTCCGCCCTCTCCCTCCAGGAGACTCTGTTTACACTTCCGGAGAGGATTTACTGATCATCCATAAAGGGTAGTGACTATCTCACAAGCTAGTACTAAACTATTCACAGGGTTCTTATAAGATATTGACATACAGAAAGTTATGAAACATAGTACAGTAAAGTATAGATACATACATGAAATCATCGGATAATACATTCAAATGATACGGAGATAAACTGAACGGACATAGTTTATCTAATAATTTAGTATAGATATCAGTATACGATAGAAGGAACAGTAAAGACCCCCAAATTATTCCCATAATAACTTGATTAGTTTGATTGTTTCTTAACTAAAATCCATTTAGTTGAAATCGAGTAGTCATTCCTTATGCTCAGCATAATACACAAGGAGTAAAAGAGTTTATAGATTTGTCAAATATTGTTTGAAACACATCAATGTTGTGATTGGAAAACAGTTATAGTTTGCTTGTATTCCCCCCTGAAAACATTGAAAACAGTGAAAAAGCCGTAGGGGTATGAACTCACCGAACAAGGTACGAGACGGTTTGGATGTTAAAAGTTGAGCCGGGACTTGGAAACGCACGAGGTTCCTAATTATGAAGTAAAGATACACATTTGTATCTAATTAGGACTTAGATTGATTGTCGGATAGGGACAATTGCTTCAGGTCGTGATAACACTCTGATACAAGTGTTTGGTGGGACCCGGATGGCGTTTAGGGACATGAATGGCACAAGGGACTTGGGAAATGAGTTGGGACATCAAAGGAACACTCCCATTAAGGGAGTTTACGGCCAAAACACCCTTCCCCATGAGTTTACGGCCGTAAACTCATGATGGGTGTTTTATGGTGCCTTTTGGACTTCCAACACTTAAGGGATAATTTCTAGACTAGGTTTAAGGACTTGGAATGATTTAAAACATCAATTTGACCCTCTTTGATGGGAGTTTACGGCCTAGCAAGATCCATGGCCGTAAACCCTTGTTTGTCCAAGAAAATGGTGTTAATTGTTGCTAGAACAAATCTCATGTGATTGGTAGATTTTATCCAAGGCCTAACATGAGTTTGCATGGGACTTTTGAGTGATTTGTGGAGTTTACGGCCAATGAAACCCCCTTCATGGCCGTAAACTCTAGTGTGTGATGCTACAAGGTGTTTCAAGGTCTAGAACATGCATGAATGGACTTCTAAAATTCATCTAAGGGCCTTAGGGGTGTGTAGTTTGCATTTTAATACCAAAAATATTGGAGTTTATGGCCCAAGAACATGTCTTGGCCGTAAACTCTTAGAAACCCCACAAATGTTGTGTTTTAGGCCCTCAAAGTATTTTTAGTTGGTCCCTTGATTTATTCCAAAGCTTTTGGTGGTGTTGGATGGCTTTCTAACACATTAGAATGAGATTTATGCCAACTTTAGTGGAGTTTACGGCCCAAGAACATGCCTTGGCCGTAAACTCACATAAGTCCCTCAAAATTAATGTTTCAAGTGTCCAAATGCAAGAATCAAAGTCCCATAATTCATATCTAAGCTATAGGGGTGATTTGGAAGGGTTTAAGGGCATAAAAACCCTCATTATATGAGTTTACGGCCCAAGAATATTCCTTGGCCGTAAACTCCTTTAAACATCACAAAATGCAAGTTTTTTCATGTTTAGATTACATATATTAAAGTCTCATAGCCATATCCAAGGTCCAAACTAGTCAAGGAAGGGTTTAAAGGCTCAAAACCCCTTATTTTTTAGTGTTTACGGCCTAAGCATCTTCTTAGGCCGTAAACTCACATACTTGGCTCAATTTCATGTTTAATTCTCGAATTTGAAGGCTAAAGATGCTATAGATTAAGGCTAGGGAGGTACCTTAAGGATTTGATGCCTTAAAATTGAGTTTTGGACACTAAATCTATGGATTTTGGAGAGAGGTTAGATAGAGAGTAGTGAGAGAAGGAAAAAGCTTCAAATGAAAGCTGAAACTCGTTTATATAGTTCCCAAAATTTGCACACGGTGGAATTCTACCCGATACCGACGCTAACCGCGGCTTTTGGTCGCACCCGATTGAGTTTCCGTCACCCGACGGGAACATTTTAAAAACTCGTGAAATAATCATTTTGGGCGAATAACATAAGTTCCTAAGTGCTTTAGACACTCATTAGGATAAAATAAACGCATAATTTATACAAATAAATTTCAAAGAGAAATCGGAACGAATCCGATAACGGCGACTTTCCGGGTAGAACGGTTTTTGGCGACGAACAAATTTCGGGTTGTTACAGTAATGCATGCCTATGTTGCTTCAGAATTCTCGGCACATACACAATGTAGTGACAACCCATGCATTTTTTCTTGTCATTACTCGGTAGTAGGCATCGAACAAGAAAACAATTGTGAATCAATTTTAAACTATCATTTCACAACTCTTGGCAACATATATACAATTCCCATTTCATTTTAAGTTGCTAGTAGCAAATAAACAAAGAGCAATCATACTCCAATATAATATTACTAGCTGAATGTCGACGTGTTCTGCAAAATACATATATATATTTTAAATCTTTACAAATCTATATGTTTTTTAAATATATCAATGATGTTATTACTAGATCATATATAATAAATCTTATAATAATTTGGTATAATGATTGTTTGTTTTCAATTTTATTATCTCGATTGTCTCAATGGTTTCTACCCACGGGTCACTCATGTATTAAACTAATATAATGTATGGTTTAATAATATTTATAGTTGTTATGATTAATTAATTTTAAAAAGTTTATTTGCTTAAAATTTGAACTTCTATCATTCTAATTATTTAAAACATCAAACATTGGTTTTGTTTTTCTTGTGATATGTCTCTGGCTTAACTCAGTCTCTTTGAGGGATGGAAATAAAGGGCCTGGGAATCACAACAAAGAAACCAAGATCGCTAGTCATCGTCTAGGATACGGTACCGGAACGAGGCTCCGATGATCAAGTTAGTTTGTCTCTTAGAGAGAAGGTGAAAAGTGTTAGCTAAGAGTTTAAGGGTTTTCTCTCAGTCCCTATTATTAGAGGAGAAGGGACGTTTTTATACTTGTGGTTGAGGGAACAGATCCCCGATAACATCTTTTACCTTTTCAAGTTTGGCAGAGATAGACGGCCTTTGATTAGTAGATCGTGTTGCACGAGTCGTCGTTTTCCATTGGTGTAGGTTTTCCAAAAGCAACATTCTGAGTGCTTCACTTGTCGCTCTGAGAGGCGAGTGGTACTATGTTGTCTTGACACTGGCTTTGGTGCATGGACGCCAATGAATGAGTATGGGATCCCGATAGCAAGGACCTGGTGTTATGCATATGTCACTCTTTGCCCAAACCTTTTATCAGACTGACGGTTCTACTATATTTGACGTGTTCCTGCTGGAATACAATAAAAAATCCCCTAGGCTAGTAGATGTCGGTGTTTGCTTTGGTTACCTAATTAGTTCTAGCTTAGATCTGAGCATGCATTTAATGGGAACGATTCATGATGTGTTTATGTTGTAATAGAACCGTTGTGGCGAGATAGCGTAGTTTCGTTTCTTCTTTTCTTTTTCTTTTTTATATAAGGGCCCTCTATCTTTAGGAATGGTTATACGCTTCCTCTCTCCATAATCCACCATCTCATCCTCTTTTATCGCTTCTCCTTTCTCCCACATTTTTCCTCTCTGATTCTTGATGGCTTTTGTTAGATCTCGAATCGCTCCTACATCCTAGGAGTTCGAGTCTCTTCAATTCTGGTTTGAGTTCATGCCTGAGCATGCAGTTCAATTCCCGTTGGAAGGGTCTACAATTTATCAACCGCCAACAGGGAAGGTCGGTGTTCCAGTAGCGATCCTCGAGGTCGGCTTATCGGGAATATAGTTTCTCTATTCAAGAATTGCCCTAAATGGTGTGAACAAAATAGTTGGGATTTGTGTTAGGATGTCGAGCATTGGGTATGCTTCCTCATCTTCAAGCATTCCAATCTTTCTTCAATTTGTCTACCCATTTGGGTGTTCACACCTTTTCTCAACGCCGTGACACGCTTTCCTTTATAGTTAACCAGAAAGCACCTCAGAAGAACTGGTAGGACCGGTGGTTGTGGGTAACAGTGATTAGGCATCTCAATTGTCGGTGTTCGGTTTGTCAAGTAGCTCTCACAATGATGGTAAGTGCTATCCTACTTCCCCCCCTCCTCTTTTTTCCTTTCTTTATTAGATATCGAGTTTCTTTTGCTGAAAAGAATGGGGTTTTACGTCGTTGCCATTGCAGGTAGCGAGAAGCTTTTGTCTCTTGCACAAGTGCTACCGGGGGGGGGGGGGTGAAGATGGTAGCACAAAGTCCCTCAACTGGAGATGCTGTTGTCTCTAGCCAGATTTGGCCTTGGTTTTATGGACAATGTCCCTCCTATGAAGGTAGGGTTAGAACGGCTTCTCCAGTCAGGGGATCAGGTGTGGCTGGGGACCAAGTCATCTCCCGACATCGGTCTGCTGCTGCAAATTCCGCTCATGAGGAGGATATCAGTAGCAGTATTATTGGTCGGCGTTTGCGTCGAAAACGCAACACCGATCCTCTACTCATTAATTCACCCATTGTTATTGAGATTATTGATGGTGATGACCCACAAGTAATGGAGACAACGAATTTGCGTTGGTTGGGATAACCAAGCGTTGTGGGCACTCGCTCTATCCCACCCTCAGTTCCAGCTGATACCCCGTTGGCGGTAGGTCCTTCGTCTTTGGGTGCTCCTGGTGTTTATCTCCCGAGGTGGAACCTTATTCCTAGTTCGCTTTTATTGGAACAGGGTCCCCCTAGTGAGTAGTACCGACATGTGTTTCCTTCGGCTATCCTGGATGCTCATAATGCTCTTTCTTATTCTCACATGGTGAATGATCTTCAATATGCCACTTCTCTAGTTCCTCCTTACTTGGTGGCTGTTTTTGTTCATATTCCTTACATAGAGGCTGATTTAGTGGAGTTGGCTATTGTTAAATCAGAGTGTGATGCGCTAGTGAAGAAGGTTTGGATTCTCGAAGATGAATGATGGAAGTTTGATGAACTCTACATCATGCTGTCTGGGGAGAAAACTGTTATAGAAGCTCAAGTGGTGACTCTGGATATGGAGGATAGTCTCTTATCCTAGCAGTTCTAGAATTCAGTGTCGGAGAAAGAAGCATCGGCTGAGCATTTGTCACTACAAGGCGATCAGTTCGCCGTTGAGGTATCGAGGAGTAAAGTCTTGGAGGCTGATTTAGCTTGGGTTATTCATAAGGGGGTGGTTCGTGTGGTGGACTGTATTGTCAAGCGTAGCCAGTTCATGCATGAGATTCATCTAGTGTAGGACGCATGTATGGCTCCTGGTATAGAGAGGGGGAAGGAAATGGTAGAAGTATGGTCGGATGGTAGCGTGTCAAACCGCAAAACCAAGAACGGCGGTAACGTTTTGGGGAGGAGGACATCATGTACAAAATCACAACACAGTATAATAGTAAATAAGTAAACAACATCATCCATTGCATTAAATAGATAATTTTAATACAAGTGTGTTTTGTAGTATATAAGACACCAAAACATGAATCAAAATATAAGATGAATCTTGAATGCGCTCCATCTCCTCAAAAGATGGCCTCGGTACCTGTCTACTAATGAGCTGAGAATACAAGTTATTTTGAAATAGTTTATCAACGTTAAAGCTGGTGAGTTCATAAGTATTTAGTGTCTATGTTTGTATCAAAATGTTTGAACCATTGCTTGAAGTACGAGTTTGTAAACATTGGTAGTAAAAGTATGTGAATGCTTGTAAGTGTGTGTAAAAGTTTGTAACTCCTATAAAATCCTATATTTTCTACAAAAAGTAGCCTTCTACCAAGGCACAACTATTTTGTATGTTTTTTTCTTGTAAAAGTGTGTAATTTCCCCAAGTGTAACTATCATTATCAAAATATAGTTTGTACATTAATGTTTATGTGAAGTAATCACCTAATAAATGTAAAGGGTAAATTAATGTAGTATTGTAGTGTTGTATTATAGGAACTACTGCTGTACTAACTACCTTAAACCGGATTTATATCAAGGTAATATGTGATTAATTGTACCATACTATCAACTGGAAAACACGACAGGGTAAGTCGTCAAAAGGTATGACATTTGGCACCCGAAGACCTGCAGGTCGCACTGTAGCTAGCAGCAAGGTGTAAGATCACATTTATAAAGTGGATCACATTTATTAGTAGATCACATTTATGTTACAACTCGGGCCATGAAAATTAAGTCATGCTCCAATACAGTTGATCATATTTATGATAAGGTATACTTGTATATGTAATGTATTGTTTCTCATCATAGTATTGTTGTATATGTTCTCATCATAGTATCGTTGTATATGTTCTCATCATATTATTGTTGTATATATTCTCATCATAGTATCATTGATAGTGTTCTCATAGTAATAAGTAATGACTCATGAATGAACTGTCTCTTGTATGCTTCATTGAACTAGAAGTAGTAAGTAGTATAACCCTAAGCTATACCTATTATAGTTTATTAGTAGACTTGTTTGTGTGACTGAATGTACTAAATTGAGATAAAAGTCTTTATATCTATACATATATACATAATATATAACTAAGGATTCAACGACACTCGAATAAACAACCAGGTACTTTAAGACCACAACCAAGCAAGGACAGGAAGTAAAGTAGGTTATCTCTCCCATGCCCTTCGAACCTTATTTATATAACTATATATGTCATAGACAAGTTTTTAGCAATATATAAGTTTAAAGACTATAAAAGAAAGCTTTAATATTCAAAAGTGAATTTGATAAAGAGTTTGACATGTAAAATAGTTTGATAAACAATTGGAAGTTATTTGTTTGGTAAAATAGTTTAAGGAATGGAAAATCCATTTGTATGTTAGTTATTAATCACATGTGATTGATCTAATAACTAACATGGTTCAACTTGTATCCCCCCATAAAGCATTTACAAACACACAAAAGCATTTCAAAGGTTAATTAATGGGTATGAACTCACCTGTAGTGAGTGGTTTGGATGAACGAATGATATAGGATGCGAAGTGTCATGTGAAGACTTGAGCACACACACGGATCCTATTGATCACCTGCAGGAGAGCTTTCCAGCTAACAGCAGAGGAGGTCTGCGCAACAAGTGATGTCGTAGGCGATATGTGTTCTTTTATTTATTTTAATTGAGTTATTTGTGCTTATATTGTGTTATGCATAGGTACTTTTCTTGTGAATTTTGTACCTACCTTGGTGTTATTTGTCTCAGGTGCGAGTCGGTCCTGCATCTCATTGGTATTTAGTCGCCACATCAGTGTGTAACAACGTAAATTTGAAAACAATTTTTCCGTTTTAAAATTTATAATTTTAAATCATATATATCTCATATCCCAATGTATCACATATCAAATCCATAAAAACACATCCCAATATCAAAATGCATAAAAACTCCAAGAGTGTGTACTGATGATGTGGGCACCTTCCCACGAACCTTACTGGTACCAAAAACACATAACACAAAACATTGTAAGCATAATTCTTAGTGAGTTCCCCAAATTACCACATTAACACATAATAGCCACTCTAGGCTATAACTATGTGAGACCTCTGGCTCTAACTCTGTGGACCCTCTAGTCCTAACTCTGTGGACCTTCCGGTCCTAACTTTGAAAACTATGATATATACACAACATAAATCACATAAAAATAATGTTTTGCAACACATCGCACAAATAGCATGCAAGATACTCAATCACATGGCTCTAATTACCACTCAAGGTAAAGTATAGTGAGAAGACTCACCTCCGATAACTCGGTAAACCTTAAACTCTGAAACCCTATACTAGCCTCCACCTAATCACATAATAATTACTCTAATTAATACAACTTGTAATGGCTAGGCTAATCCCTCTATCTAAGTCCTCTAAGAAGGGTAAAAGGCCATTCTACCCCTATAATGGATCATAAGTCCGAACATTGACTAAATCCTAAAAGTAAACGAACTCAACAGTCAAACTTTGACTAGACTCGTCGACTGCACTCAGGCGACTCAGCGAGTCCACACTAGTCCTCTAGATCCTTTCAATCCCCACTTAGCACGATGAGTCCCCTTTCCACTCATCGGGTTACTCAACAACGAATCGCGGGGCAACCGCGACTCGACTCATCAAGTCCACTTATGAACTCGGCGATTTGCTACCATGACAACACTCAAATGACTTTCTGAGGTTAGATCTGCTTCCCTAATCTATAGATCAGACATCCCTATAGCCAATAACCATGTAAAGGTCGAATCTTGGTACACATGCAAGACACTCTATGCTTATTTTGGTGAAATCCCTTCTAACATGGCAACCTATGTCCCTTTCCTCCATAGAACCACAAAAAGCAAGCTGATTCAAACTCCTTGGACAATAAGAGGTCCGAATCCAGAGTTCATAACTCAATTGGACACTAAATCTCAACCACACAAGCCATAAAAAATATAGAAAACCCTAAATTCAATGCTCATAAGCAAAAACAGAGGAATAAGGTCGAATAACTACCTTAAAATGAAGATCCAAGCTAAAAACTTCCTGAGATGAAGTCCTCTTGCCCCCTTCATGCTGGAAACCCTTCCTCTTTGGCTAAATAACACATAAACGAAAAAAGAAGCTCAAACTCTCTCACAAATCGCTCAAAATCGCTAGGGTACCTCTCTTTGGACTGGTAGCCGCAAATGGAGGCTATAAAGTCCTTTAAATAAGGCTCAGGCCCGGGGATTTAGGGTTTTAGTCGGCAGCACGGACTCATCGAGTCCACCCTTACGGACTCATCGAGTCCCATTGTCACACACCAAAACCAAGAACGGTGGAATACGTTCTGGGGTGGAGGACGTCATGTAATGTATCATAACAATGCATAATAGTATAAACAAGAAACAACATCCATTTCATTAATATAATAATTGTAATACATGTGTGTTCTGTAGAATAGAAACCAAAAGTATAATCAAAATAAAAGATGAGTCTTATATGTGCTCCATCTTCTCAAAAGCTGCATCGGTACCGGTTTATTGTTGACATGCGAATACAAGTTATTTTGAAAACGAATATCAGCATAAAGCTGGTGAGTTCATAAGTATTTAGTGTTGTTGTTCGTGTAAAAATGTTTACAATCATGTAGTGAAATGGTTGTTATCGAAATTTGAAAGTAATTTGATTCCTAAAAAATCCCGTATTTTCCAGCAAAAGTAGTATTTTACCAAAACTAGGTTATTTGTAAGTTCGTGTCTTTGAAAACGAAATAATCTTCTTGTGAAAATATCAGTAATGAAAATACAGTTTTAAACTCATTCATTTTAGAGAAGGAATGAAGTTTCACCCCAGCAGCATCCCTACCGGTTAAATGTAATAGTAAATGCAACTCCCGATAGTATTAGTTTTGTCTACACCTCGGGATGTGTGTTTAATTAAGTTTTGAATGTGATCTTGCATGAAATCATACTGAGAGATAGTAGAGCGGCTGACCCTCTAGGTAACCAATAGTGTGATAGTGTTTTGTCATCCGTGGGCCAAAAAGGCTCGGACTGTAGCTGGCAGTCGGGATGTCGGAAAATCCATCTCGTATAGATCTATACACATAGCGGTCAGTCTCCCTCCA